AATCAATTAGTCATGAATCAAAGAGCTAGAAGCAAAATAATTTTTTAAAAGTGTCGAGACTATTCTGCACTAGTGGAGGTGCTATCTGGCTAAGCAACATTCTTACTGGAGGGGTTATTAGTATTAGACTAAAGTTAAAAGATCATCATTTCTAGGCAATTGGTTGTAAGTCAACACTGGATTTTTTTAACTTGCAACCCTCTAGCGTATATGTAAAAGTCTGTATATTATTTTAGGAAAAGTAATTATATATGAATGCAGACTTTTCAAGTGCAGGTAATGTGGCACTGTCTTGATCAGTTTTGGTACCATAAATTACTCTTCCTCCTGTCCCTCAAGAATTCACCTGTCTGGATAGAGCACGATACGGTGTCAAGGTTAATAGAGTGTTGAATTCACCTCTTAAATGTTTGCCTGGGATGAAGAGTGGACATACCTTATGCGTTAGAATGTTTTATTCTGCATTCTTACTTTAAAGCAGTTTCTATTTTACATGCAGCTGTTCAAATGAACGATTCCCAATTCTGTTGTTTGAAATGGAGAGCTATACTTCCACACTTCCTTGGCTGTCCATCAATAATATATCAAAAAGTAGAGTTGATATTTATTGTGTAATGCAGATAGGCAAGTAAATATTTTTCATGTCTGGCACAGTTAATATTCTGTGCTGAGTTTTTTGTAAACTTGTTATTCATCTTTTTGATGAGTCTTCGGTTAGGCTAATCATAACCATAAAGTAGTTTTGGAAGATGTCAGTGTTTCAGAAAGATTCAAAAAGTATGAAAACATGTTCTGCAACTCCTATTTTTGAAACGAAGATCTCTCCATTTGTTTCTTTAGAAATCGGCAATTACTTGCCCTGTGAATCCACTTTGGAAAGTAACCATCAGCAGAAAGCTCCTCTGCCTGCGAAGCCTAACAAATACTGTTGCCTGTGCTAGTGGTTGAATACTAGCCTTCCTCTACACAAGGGCAGTGGTGCCAGAGGTCTTGCACTGGTCTGACGCAAGGCTTTGCATCTCTGCTGGAGCACTCTCATTGAAAGTGGCAGTTTTGAGACTGCCAGAAATGGTGTTCATAAAACAAGTATCCTTGGTGATGTATCCCAAGTCCTAGAAAGCAGGAATTAAGGAATAAGTCAGGTTCATTCTTTAAACTCCAGTGACTAATTTTTGCATTATGAAGGTTGCAAGGTCGAATTTTTTCCAAGTCAGTCATCTTTTTCCTTATTCTTTATACGGTGTGAAACACTTTCAGAGAAACAGTGGAAAATTTCAGTCCTAAATACAAAAGGACAGAAGACAGAGGGGTAAATCTGACAAAAAGCAAAATGCAAAAAACCAAAGGGAAACATTTTTGATTCTTCCACTGCTGCTGAGACAGCTAAAAAGCCCATGTGGTAACTTAAATGTGCATTAATATCTCATCTGAACCCTATGATCTAAACCAATCTGCAAGACAAGAAATGCAGAAATCTTCCATCAAGCTGCTCATTTCTGATGGATTTGTTAAGCAGCCATGGTCAAAGACCTTCATAAAAGCCTATCAGGACAGCCTGCTTTGCAGTCTTTTGTCCAAGCTGCTACAGCAGAAGCAGGAGATATAAATTTATTTTCCTAGCAATATTAAAGTAAGGAGGGTCTCCTTTACAAATAATAATACCATTAATTTTGTATATCATTTTTCTAAGTTATACTGATGGTATAAACCAACAAAGCAGTGTATTTTCTGAGGAGCAGTACGGTTTTCTTCAGTGGCCTTTGAATATATGTGGGACATCTGAACTTGCAACTGTGAAGATGCTCTTAATCGAAGAATAAATTTTAAGGGAGTCTTGATACTTGAATGTCTGAGATTCAGACAGCCCGGATGAACCCTTCGTAATTCCTAGAGAGTTTTTGATGAAAAACTTCCTTAAAGACTTAATCTGAACAATGGAAAACTGTTGGGTTAATGTTTGCTTTTCTCCCCCTTAACCTGGAAATGGCAAATTCCAAACTGCAGCGCTATGTTTCCCTTCTTACCATGCCTGCCGGTGAATGTGTGAGCAAATGGGCAATGCTGAATGCCTACTACCTTCCTAGCAATTCTGGCTTCTATGCTTCTTTGGAACTGCCTACTAATCTTCATTTACCAACAACCCTCACTTATCAGTGCTGTACAATCTGACAAGACTGGTATATCCAACACGGAGGGCAAGCACTCTTGCTTTGAGGCCCTGCTTTGCTAGCTTTCTCCTTCTCTTTACTGTAGTCTTCCTCCTACTCTTACATCGCTTCATCTTTCTTTCCTTTGTGTGAAGATAATTTGCCTGCAGTTGCGCCTTGGGAGGGAGAAACACATTTTGGTTGGCGTAAAACTTGGTTGATTAAAAGGCTGTAGTTCCAAACAAGTTGTCTTCACCTAGTCTCCCGTCATTTTCCAGGACAATCTACGTAAAAAGGATGATCGGATTGAAGAACTGGAAGAGGCACTCAGAGAGAGTGTTCAGATAACTGCAGAGCGGGAAATGGTGCTAGCACAAGAGGAGTCAGCCAGGATCAATGCTGAGAAACAGGTCTGCAATCTTATAAAGTCACTGGTAGTCCTCTTAGGAAACTAACCAGACAGTAAAGTGCTATTTTCCCTACTTTACTGTGAAGCACAGCTGGTTTTGTTTGATGATCCTGTATCTCTGTTCTAACATTAGGTAACAGAACTCATAAAGTCTGCAAAGCCTTCGTGATAAGTTGTATTTCATAGGTAAGATTTTCTTGAAATTAAAAAGAAATATAAGGTATCCTGAGCTTCAAAATATTATTTTAAGTAGTAACTCTTCTGATCTGTCTTGCTTCTCAAAGCTGTCTTCCCATGTGTAAGCATACTTAGGTTCACTGTGTTGTTCATTGAATGTATTTAAAGACGATGATTTTTATTAGCATAGTTGTGTTTATGGACCACCGTCTCGTTGCACTTGCAAAACTGGATAAAGGGACAAATCCCTTGGCTTGAGCCAAGCATACACACATAAAATACACATTTGTGTGTTGAAGCCAGAAGTGTGAACTTTTATGCATGAATTGATTCTGTACCAGTGACGAGATACTCTGAAGAATTGTGTATGTGCCTGATTTTAACTCACATAAGTAATCATCAAGAAAACATACCGTAAGTAGTGAATAAAATTCCATGAGATTTTGATAAAGTTTTTGAAGCCGAAGCTGGACGTGGCATTCTTACTGTGCTTTTTGTGAGCCTCTTCAGTGTTTTTCACTGTTCCTTACTTGACTGTAACTAGCAAACAGGAGCATTTGGTCAGTTGCATTGCAATGGCATGATCTCTTTCTCTTTGTTATTTAAATAAAAGAAGTTCTGACTAACTGCAGTTTAAAATGTTTTAAGAGGTTTTTTCCAACATGTATTCTTATATCATATACTTTAACTAAAAAGAAGACATAAATATCTTAGTAATAATCCAAGTTTTCGGGAAGAAAGCAACTGTTTCTCTTTAGGCTAGAGTCAAGCTCAGCTGTTTGCTGATAGACATTCTGAGAATAATTCTGGTTGCTGTACCCTAAGATCCTAGGCAATGTTATGGAGTTCACTTTCAAGAATGCCTTCTTTCCAAACTTCTTGTAGCCTTTAAAAAAATTGCATGAAATAGAAGTGTTAACTAGGTAGTGAATACCACGCCAGAGATTAAATCTTCTTGAAAGGAAAATATATGTCTCACAAAGGAGCAGGTTCTATGCTGAGACACAAAAGTAAACAAAATAGTATGTGATTTGATGCCTAGGATGTCATAATGTTTTAATTTCTTTGTTACAAGACAAAGTTACTATTTTTATATTCTTTGAGCACCTAGAAGCCTGTAGAACTCATCCTTTTGTGATGTCTGTGCTCGAAACGCAGAACAAGATGCATAAGGCTTAGTAAATTTTTTGAGGGGAGGTTTTGAAGAAGGTAAGAGTGTGTTAATTTTGTAGGGGTTAGAAGTATCTGAAGTTAGGGAAGTAGGGCACAAAGATGAACACTTACAAATTTTACGCACGTGTAATGTAGGCTTGTATTAGCGGATGATCACAGGTCATCTCAGTATTGAAAGTGAAAGGTGGGTGGAATGCAGTTTGCAAAAGATGAGTAGCTTACATTTGATTCATTAGCAAAGCGGCATGCTAGTAGCATTAACATGATCAAAGCTACAGACAAGGAGATTACTGCACAAATGGGCACAACCTGCACAAGAAAGATTTTTGCATAGATCCAGACACAGAAGAAATCCTACCAAAGAACTTCAGTTATATAGATGCAGCAGCAAAGTCTTATATTAGAGATATTCCATGAAAGAAATTCTGCAAGTTTTTAAAAATAACCTTTGAAAGGAGGTTTGAGTCAAAGGTACTGTCAAGATTAACAAAAATATGAAAGTTCTGTCCTAGATGAAAAGAAATGAAGTAGTGAAGATTTCAGTCACAGGATGGAAAGGAGGACGCCTTTTTAGCCTATTGAGCATGAGCTCCTCATAGATGTCTGTCCACTGTGAGCTGTTAGCAGCAGGTTTATTCTGGAGAGGAGAAGAGATAAGTCTGGGTTAGTAAAATAGGGAACTGTTGTCATAGAAGTGAAGTTTTATGTATACACGAGGCATCCTAAAACAAGAATGTGGAAAGAGAATAGTGCTTTGGGAATATGCACAAATTTCAGGTTTGGCAGGAAGGAGGCTTTTCAAAAGAATTCACCAGGAAAGCGTGATGAGAGGCACACAATGAAGTCAGATGGTCAGAGCTTGGTGAAAAAGGGAAATAGCTGGTGAATGGAGAGTTGGAATTGGGTGTACAATCTGAAAGATGAAGCAAGGCAGGGAAGTGTGCAGCCTGAGGGTCAATAAGCTGTAAGGATTGGTGAGAGAGATTGAGAGGAAGAGAGCCAAGAGGAGTAAGATTTGTGGGAAAAGATTGGTGGAATATGGTAGGCAACAGCATCATGAAAAAGAAATGAATTTGGATGTAGTAGTGTATACAGAAGTGAGGAGGAGAAAGAAGGATGGATTGAAAGCAGCAGGATTGGAAGAGGGAAAAGTCAATGTCTATACCATCACTGATTGACAGCAGTGTCTTACTCCAACAGAAGAACTAAACTGCTGGCTCCGACCAATTATAGTTTTTAAAATATGACCAACAAGACGGCACGAAGGAAAAGCAGCTGGAGTGTCTTGTTCCAGTCAGCACTGGGAGAGCTGCTGTGCCCCATTTTGTCCAATAGGATTTTGTTTTGGTATCAGTTAAATACAGTCAAGTAATAGAGTGATGGCAAGTAGCTGTTTTTCCAAAGTGAGGAGGAGACTTTCCTTCAAATGTTTTTAATTTCATATTCCTTCAATTACTTTAAAAGAATGCCCTCTTTGTTTTATTATGTTCTGTGTTCTTTGTAGAATTGTGAACGACACCCTTAGATAGCTTTAGAGTTTTAAAATGCAAGGCTCTGTTTTCTATACGATATTAATGGCAAATCCTTTGATTTTTACAAACAATAATAGGTTAGGATCATTCTTAGACCAATTATGAATGATATGTGTGATTTTAAAATGTTAATGTTGTCCAAACTGGTTATAAATTGCTTTTAATTGCATGCTTTTTCTTTCCTCTCTTCTGTTTATCTTTATCTGTTTTCTACCATTCTGCCACTTCACTGCCTGTCTGAAGCTGTTTAATGCATCAGTGCATGAGGTCAACCATTTTGGCTTTAAGTGGTTCAAGGTATGAGGACAACTGATGTGTGTATACCTCTGCCCCAATATTTAGTGTTGTTTTCGTAGCCCTGTGTTGTGCAATCCCACCCTCCATCATCTCATGATGTATGGTTTCCTACTGTTTTACAGGCTTCAGATTTGAATTACAGTGTCCATGAAGCTACTCAGGATTTCATGGTTCTCAGATAACTGTTTCAGATTAAAATCTTGCTCTCTTTAATCCAGTGTTTGAAAATACCCTGGCAGTGTGTATTAACTGTGGCAGTGGGTTAACTGTGTTGATACGCAATCTATATATGGTAAGATGACTCCAGCTGACTAAAGCTTTCTGTTTATTTCAGGATCTTAGACTTGTTCTTTCTTTCATCTATCACAAAAATAAAATCAGGCATTTCCTGCTGGGAGCAATGCACCCATTGGATTGGGCATAGTTTTATTAACCTTGTTGTTCTGTATAACGGAAACCCTGCCATACAGAAAGCAGATGAGGGAGTCTTACACAGATATAAAGACTTGAAAGTTCTTCAAGTTCATTCTTTCTAACATATTCACCTGGTTTTGTTGGTGCACCTGCTGAATCCTGTATGTAAATATTACTGTAAATTCCTTACAGCTGTGGGGTTATGTGCTACTGTGGCTGATCCCCCTAGTTCAGCCCTCTAGGTTGAAGGTCAGAAGGTGTATGGAGACTTCTTAAGTACTCTCCATAAGGGTGAAGGTAGGATTTCTCGGGTAAACGCTTCTATCATAAAGTTCTTTCTATTAGAGATGGCAAAAACAAATGTAGATCCAGGCACTCTGTCTGAATTAACCAAATCTGAGTTTACTTCAGTAAAGCTAGCGTTATGTTCCTCAGGGAAGAAAAAGGAATTGTTTAAGTTTTTCCCTGCTCAAAAATACAGTGGTAGTTTTACTTCCCTAGGAAAAACTGCTGGAGATCTTCTCTGACAAAAGGCCATCTTGCTCACAAACTTTCTTTCACTGTTCTAGTGCATCTTACCATCCCTTCTCCTGCAGCGGGAGGCAGGAGGTTATCTTATATATCAACTTAGTCATAATCAGCACCATACCCAGAACAATGCTGGAAATGTGTTTCGATCTTCCTGAAAGAATAAGGCCCTTTTTGTGGAACAAAGTGAAACAGAAGTTCAGATTCTGTGATTCAGTGTCAATCAATAATAAGTAGTGTCAGGTCCTTGGCTCAAGGAGCACAATATAAGAATTACTTGCATTTTGAGCCTGGATTATTGGACGCCATAGTTCACAAATGTGTACTGACCTAAGATGCTTATGCCCTCCCTCTCGTCACTCACTTTCATCCCCTTACTTCACTGCACAACCCTTCAGTTTTCCCAGTCTGGGTCTTTCTGGGGCCATGCTGTGAAATGGAGCAGTGACCTAACTGATGATAAGAATTATCTTATTTTTTGAAGGAATTTTTTCATGTGAACCAATTTGCTGATCTGGTTCATAGATCCTCACACAGAACTTGAGGCACATCTGAGGAAGCATTAAACTGTGGGGGCAGGACTGAGAAGTAGAGGCAGGAATTGCTTAGTATTATTACTAAAAATATTTTTACCAGAAGCTGTTATTGTGGCCTTTACAATAGGCTACTATTTCTATGAGTGAGATGGTGCACTGCCTGACTGCAACATATGTTTCTTTATCTTATTTCCTTCAAGTTTGAAAAGCAGTAGGTTTTAGAATTTTAAATAGTATTTCTGCTGATGATAGTGCAGCCCTGTTCTCTCATGAATATCAACTCCTGCTTAAATGCACTCCCTGTATAGTATCAGCTAATATCTAACTCCTTATCCTAAAATGTT